CGGTCCCGAAACCAGCCCGTCCCCCCCGGGGGCGACCCGGGCCGCTCGGCGGTCACGCCCGCCCTCTGCCGCTGCCCTCCGCGCCCTCGCGCGCGCTCCGCCTCTCTAGCTCTGGGCGCGCGGGGTGTGCAGGGTCTGGCGCCTTGCCTTCGCGACGTTCCGAGGCTTACACCGCGTGGGGCCATTTCTTTATGGCTGAAAGACTCCACTGCACGCTCAAGCCGCCGTTTGTGTATGCCTTCCTGGATGGACGCGGCGTGCCCACGTTTGGCTGCCCCGGAATCGATCTGCTCTGTTCGCGCGCTCCTCCAAGCCGGCCTTCACCTGGGCGGCGGCGTCCGCGCCGGAAGCGGGCTGCTGGGCCCTGCGGTAATTCTGGTCGCGCTTCTGAGCAGCCCAAGCTGTTCTCCACCGCGGCTGATCCACGCGTTACATTCCCGACAGCGATGTGCAGGGTTCCAGTTGCCCGTATCCTCATCACTGCTGTCATTTTCCCCTCCACATACATACACGTATATATAAATTTTAGCACCCTAGGGTCTGGACAGATCTTTTGCACAAACTCAGCAAGAACCTGCACTGGGTGGCAGCCTGGACGGGCGGAAAGCAGCAGGATCTGAAACCAGAGCTGCACCGAAAGACTCTCTAGAAACGCCGAATCCATGCCGTTAGCTGTGGCTTATACATGGCCACATGGCCGTTACTCCCACCCTTCAGCTTTTTTTTCTCTCCAAGTTTTCTGTAATGAATATTGAAAAATGAGCTCAGTAGATATTTCCTCCCATTTTAAGTCATACAAATCAGGGTCGGTATTTTTCCAACCAAAAGACGGTCAGTAAAACCAGCTCCACGCCCAGCCCGGTGGTGCAGTCTCATGCCGGACTGCAGTGCTGGAAGCTGGCCGCAGGGCCCGCGGTGAGTTCAGACCAGGGGTTGCCTGCAGCCTGGCACATGTGCCGGTCCAAGATCCCAATAAGCTGAGGGGGGAGGGCGTCCTGGTGTGACTGGACCCTCTGGGGGTGCTCCTCTCTCTCCCCCTCTCATGCAAGTACACACACTCTATCATGAATAAAATAAGCATGTATAAATATATCTATACATGTTAGAAATCAGCTCTATGCCAGGGGATGTGTCGCCACCTGTAACTCCAGCTACTTAAGGGGCTGGGGTGGGACTAACAGATGGTGGAATTGTTACATCGCTGAACTCCCACGCCCAGGGCCCAGGGGCTTAAAACTCATCCAGGGTGTGAGTGCATTTGTGTCCAACATCTCAAGAGAAGAATGGAAGAGAAGGGATTATGGCATAGCCATCCTCCCCCCCCTACCGGGGGTGGGGTGGTGGTGTGTGGGGGGGTTATTTCTCACTTTTTGTCTATCTCTGTGTGTCTCCAGTGAGTGCACGTATCCTATAGCAAAAATCTATTTATATATATATATATATATGTAAAGATGCTGAGGCAGGAAAATCAAGATTTCCAGGCTAGCTTAGGCAATATAGACAGACTCAGACAATACATGGTGAAAAGCTTTTCTATTTCATAGAAAACAACATATCAGGGCCAGCAGGTGGCATGGTGGTTAAAGGCACTGGATTCCCACATGGCCAACTGTGGTTCGAGTCCTGGACCTGGTGATTTGATTTCTCCATTTCTTTCTATATATATCTCTCTCTGGTCAAATTAAACAATAACAAATGGAGTTAAATAAATAGTTCTTTTAAAAATATCTTTTCTATTTTATTTATTTTTACTTTTGGCTAGAAGGACCTCTCCTAGGGGAGTGTCAGGCCTTAATCCCCTCTTGCCTATCTCTCTGTCCACAGGGGTATTGGGCACCTATGTGAGCACTTAGGCCTGGTGTGTTTCTCAGACACCAAGTCTGGGCTCCAGCTGTATGGTCAGTCGTGGGCCACATGGATCTAGCTGTCTTTAGCTGCCAGGCCACTAAGCCAGCATGGAACAAAGTCTCTATAATCTTGAGTAAAATAGATCACTTAGCCCAACTCTTTTATTCAAGGGAGAAGAAACTGGGACGAAAACCAGAAAATGACGTTGGCAAGGGCTATAAACTCCATGCAGGTAAAGACTACTCATCTTACTTACATCTTAAGTTCATAGTGTAATTTCTTTTTTTGAGAGGTTTTCGCTAGAGGGCATGTGCGCTCACAAGACAGACAGAGAGAGACATAGAGACAGAAAGCAACAAATCAGCCCCCCGGGGGGGGGGGGGGTCACGCCACAAATCCCCTCTCCTCCATTCTCCTCTCGGGATCTTGGGCACGCATCCACACGCGCCCGGCGTGAGTTTTAAGCCACCGGGTCCGGGTTTTAAGCCACCGGGTCGGGGACGCGAACCACGGTCGACTACGTGGGAGTCTAGCGACATAGCCATTAGAGCGGACAGAGTTTTTCAAGTTGCCTGGACTGGGCCTCAAACCCCTCGGTCAGCCAGGTGGGATCGGGCGGCCCTGACCACCCCGCCACCGGCTGGCCCTTCCTTTGGGTTTGTAATAACGACTGTATGGCTGGCAACCTGCGGTGGGGCGGTGCAGCCGCAGGAGCCACACTTGTCCCCGTCACTCCCCATCTGCTCCTCTCCCAACCTCCTGCGTCATTTTCCTTGGGTCCACCGGCTTCACAGTCCTCGTCAGCGGTTGGCTAGGAATAGGCCCGCCCCTCCTCAGGACCTGCTGCACACTACAAGGCTCCACCTCCCCGCTGTCTTACTATTCGCTGACCCTGTACTCATCCCGCCCCTCGGGAGAGCGGATTGGCTGCGTAGCTACCCTCCGCTGTTCGCGCGCACCGACAGCACCCGAGAGGAACTGCGGCGGCGACCATGGCAGCCTCGGCGCTGGCGGTACGGGCGCGGCTCGGCGTGTGGGGCGTGAGGGCCGCGCAGGCCCGCGGGTTCAGCTCCAGCCAGGTATGCCCGGCGGTGTCGCCGCCCTGCCCTGAGCGCGGATGTCCTCTTGCCCTCGGCCGTTCACCCACGTCCCGGTCTGTCTCTGCAGCCTGATGATCTCGACCGGGGCGCGGGCTCGATCCGGGAAGCCGGCGGGGCCTTCGGGAAGAGGGAGCAGGCCGAGGAGGAGCGTTACTTCCGGTGAGGGCCTCCGGGCGCAGGGCGGGCGCGCGGGTCTCCCTGGGCCTTTAGACGCTAGCGCTGCGGCCGCCCACGCATCCCTTCCCGGTGCCTTGGGGCGCCCCAGCCCTGGCCTCTCGAGGCGGAGGTCCGACCTTTGCACCCCAGGCGCCGCCAGCCGTCTGCCCGCCAGCCCCGACCAGACCCCGGCCCTGCGGGAGCGCCTGCACCTGCGGGTCTCAGGGCGTGGTCACCCCGCGGCGCCTGCGGCCCTCCCCGGGGAGGGAACGCGCAGACTCTGCGCAGCGTCTAGACTGCCCACCCCTACCTGCAGACCTCGGCCACCCGCCTCCGGGTCGGCCTCTCTGCCCTCGCTTTGCAAGCCTGGCGGCAGGGTCCCTGCCCTACACGCACTCCCTCGGCGCCCGCAAGGCTGCCCGAGAGCTGGGTCCTGGAAGCCGCCCGGAGGGACCTGCCTGGGTGACTCTGCGGGCTGGGAGGCTCGCTCTGCCCCGCCGCGCCCCTGAACTGTGTGCTGCGCGGAGCCGGTCAGAGCCGGCCGACTCCCGCTGCCTCTCGACCGCGCTCTTTAACTGAGGCTGCCCGCACTGCGAGCCGGAGGAACTGCCCTGGCCGCTCGTCCCTGCCCTCTCTAAGGGTCACACCACGCCGCCCTCAGAGGCTTTCTCCTTAGCCCCTACGTTTACAGCCGAGGAAGACCAGCCTACCCAACGTGGCCAGGGGCCTTTTATCCATGCCTAACTGTCCCAAGGCCTGTCTATCCACGGGGCTCCTTTTCAGCCTCTACCGTGGGCCAGGCATTTCTCTAGGCAAAGAAAGCCCAGGACAAACTGGGATATTTGGGCGACTCATTCGGCATGTTGGTTTATGTGCTGGACTACCGCATGGCCTCCAATGGCGTCCCGGTCGTGGCTTGAAAATCATGCCAGCCTGCGTGCCCAAAATCCTTAGAGGAGAGTGGAGGAGAAGGGATAGCAATGTGACCACCACTCCCCCGCCTCCTGGGGTTGATTTCTCACTTTCCCACTCTCTGTCTCTCTCTCCAGTGAGAGCACGTGCCCTATGGCAGAAAAATCCAAAAAAAAAGAAAAAGTTGGACATTTGTCTTCCTACTATACTCTTTTTGTCTGCCCCTTTTTCCTTAAAACAAACTGGTTGTCTGAGTCGTTCCTCTGAGGAGGTACCGGAGGTTTATGTCTGTGTCTCTGGAGTCTCCACTTTAAAGGGCATCTGAAGTGGTTGGCCCGCCGGGTGTGGGCTCTGGGGCACTGGCACCAGGAAGATGGAGGCCTGTGAATATAGGTTAATTGAGGGGGGCACCCCTTCCCCTAGAGGAGCTTGGAGGGGAGAAGAAATGACAGCTGAGCCCTAGGGCTTGGGTCCGTCCCTCCCCAGGTGGTGCAGGCTGCTCCCTGGGTGAAGGCCGGGATTATGCCGAGTCACTGTGTCCTTCCAGGGCGCAGACTAAGCAGCAGCTGGCAGCCCTGAGGAAACACCACGAGGAAGAGATTGCCCATCATCAGAAGGAGATTGAGCGTCTGCAGAAGGCGATCCAGCGGCACAAGGAGAAGATCAAAGTGCTAAAACAGGATGATTAAGCGCACACAGCCCGGCAGAGGGGCACACTGCCCTGTAGGCCTGGGTCTGCTTTGCTTCAGGCTGTCTGTGTGCTGCCGACAATATAATAAATTGTCCTGCTGACCTGTGTCTGGGCCTCCTGCTGTCTGGAGGGGAGAGAGACAGCTGCTGGCATGCCTGGAGCTGGGAGCTCCCGGGCAGTTAAAGCACGCCACAATAAGTGCTAGGAAATAACCAGGGGCTGGGGCTGGGCACACACAGGCCAGAGATCCCTCCCCCAGTCCAGCGAGAGGTGTTCCGAGAAAGCCGCATGCAGGATAAAGCTAATCCAAAGCCTAAAGACCAGGAGCACCTGCAGGACAAAGTGCGGTTCAAGGCCACGCCACTGAGCCTCCTCACACTTAGAAAACGGGCTGGATGACTCCTGGCATGCTCCTACAGGCTCTGGTTCTGCAGATCAGGAGAGCTGCAGGTAGAAGTCACTCACTGCGGCTGTTAGTGCATGGAGTCGAGGCTCATGACAGGTTAGACACCTCACCCACGCGTGTTCATACACAGAAAGTCGGGATTCTCTTGGGTTGCGTTTGGCTCTGCTGAATGTGCTCTTGGTTCAAATTAGATTTTAAGGCCTAGTTTAACTAAATTATACAAGCTAGTTATATAACTCCCCTAGGCAAAAAAACTCAAGGTGATGTTTGGACTTGTAGCGAGATACTTTCAGGCCTGGCAGGTGGTGTAGTGGTAAAGGCAGTGGACTACCACATGGTTGACCATGGTTCGAGTCCTGGACCTGGAGGCTTGCTTTCTCACTTGCCCTTCCTTTCTTTCTGTCTTTCTCTGGTCAAATTTAAAAAAAAAAAAAAAAGAATAACAAATGGGCCAGCAAGTGGCATGGTGGTTAAGAGCACTGGACTCCCACATGGCTGACTGTGGTTCCAGTCCTGGACCTGGAGGCTTGCTTTATCACTTTCCCTCTCTTTTTTTTTAAGAATTATTTAACTTAATTTATTTATTTGTTTGCATTTGACCAGAGCCAGCTTCTGGACAATTTCTAGTGGTGTTCCTTCTGTCTTCCACTGTTGATAATCCGGAAGTTCCATTTTACCATGACCGTGACCATATTCATGTCCATGGGCCATGACTAATGGCAATCTGATCTCTCCAGACACTCTAAATAATCCTTTTTAAACACACACACACACTTTCCATATATTATTTGCCCGGAACTGTGAGCCTTTTGTTCCAAGAGCCTATTGCACAGAGGTCTTTAGAGTTAAAAGCATGGAGAAGCAATGGCTTCCAAAGCTTGTTTTGCTCCTGAAACGCGCTGAATTATATGCAGCTGATGGGAGGTTTTAGAATTCCTGGGTGAGTTCCGAGATCAAGTGGTCAGCACCAAATGATGTCAAGTGAAGGGCAAGCAGGGCAGTGCCAGACAGCATGGGAAGGTCCCAGGTGCTGGGATGTGTGTATCTGGGACAGGCTGGCAGGGTGGGTCAGCCAGTGCCATGATGGTTAAGGTGACGATCCCGCCTGGCCACCTGGGCGCTTCGAGTCCCGGACCTGGCAGCTTAAAAACACAGACACCTGTGCATGTACGCCTAGGCTCTCGAGAGAAAAATGGCAGAGAAGGGACTGCTGCCATGCCCGCAGGGGGTGCTTGCTCCCTCCTCTGTCTCTGGCAAGCGCACCAGACCTCTGGCAAAGTTAAACGAGAAAAAATGTACGGAAGTGCCAGGGATAACCACACTGAGGCGTGTGGCTACTTTTTAAGGAATTCTATACAAAGAGTTGATGTAATAGAGATGTACCGTCTACTCTTGTCACATGTGTTACTTCAAATAAAAGTCAATGTAGGGCCTACTCTGTAGCCTAGTGGTTAAGAGAAGCCAGATCCCACATGGTTGATGGGCCATTAGAGTCCAAGTCCCAGCTGTTTGTAAAACACTGGACTTGTGTGCGTGTGCCCTAACATGACGATGGAGTAAAGGGGGTTGTGGTGTTACCATGCCCCACTGGGGGGTGCTTTCTCCTTCCGCCCTGTCTCTGGGTGCTTTCTGAAGATATTTTGGAAAGGATGGGGGCAGCAGGTGGCATGGTACTTAAGGTGCTAGTCTCCCACAAAGTCAACCGTGGTTCAAGTCCTGGACCTGGTGGCTTAAAATCATGCCAGGGAGACCAGTAGATAGCATAATGTTTATGTTGCTGGACTGCCACGTCAACTGCAGTTCTCATCCCAGGCTCAGTGGCTTAAGACTCACGCAAGGCGCATGTGCAGTGTGCCCGAGATCCCGAAGGAGAATGGAGGATGGGAAAGCGGCGTTGTCAGGAAGCAGAGTGGCTGTGGTGGACAGACTAAGCCCATTTTCTGGAAAAAGGCAAAAGTTACAAAGAAGATTGTACTGAGGCTTGAATGTGTTGAGCCCAACTGAAGTTCTGCGAAAGTGCTGGCTGTTGAGAGATGCAGTGTTTCGGGGGCAGGCGGGTTGGTGGTTAGGGCACTGGACTCCCACATGGCCGACGCAGGTAGAGTCCCAGACCTCACAGCTCGCTTTCTCACTTTCCCCCTCTCTCACTGTCCCTCTCTGGTCAACAAATTTAAATAAATAAAGTTAAATAAAATAACTTTAAAAAATAAAGAGATGCAAGCATTTCAAACTGGGAGGAGAAAAGGGGCAAGTGATCCAGTTGCGAGTCATCTTTTGTTTTATTATGAAGACAATAAAATCTTTTTTTTAAGGAATGATTTAATTTAACTTTATTTGAACAGAGAAGGACAGAATGAGAGGGAACGTGAGAAAGCAAGCCTCCAGGTCCCAGACTGGAACCTCGGTTGGCCAAGTGGGAGTCCAACGCCCTTAACCATCACACCACCTGGTGGCCCACCGATAAAATCTTGAGGTGAGTATTTGCCTCATTTGATGACAGTTGGTTTTTTATGAGAGAATAATCAATAAAATTCCCCTTGTGGTGAAATTTGATTCATGGTTTAAAAAAACAAAAAGTGAAGATGAAAATTGGGGCCAGCGGGTGGTCTAGTGGTTGAGGCATTGGACTTCAACATGGCTAACTGTGGTTCGAGTCCCCAACCTGGTGGCACGAAACATGCTGGGCATGTGTGTGCCTGCCCAAAATCCCAAGAGGAGAACAGAGGAGAAGAGATTGCAGTGTGCCATCCCCTCTGGGAGTGAGTTCTCGCCTTGTCTCTCTGGTGAGCACATGTGTCCTGTCCTATATTTTAAAAATCTCTCTAAAAAAAAAAAGAGATAGGATCAAAGGCAGCATGGTGGTTCAGGTACTGGATCCCACATGGCTGGCTGCAATTCATGTTGCAGACCCAACAACTAGAAAAGCATCTCAGGCACATGTGCGTGCATGCCCAAAATCCTGAGAATGGAGAAGGGCTTGCACTGTAGCCATCCCCCTTGGGAGTGATTTCTCACTTTCCCTCTCTCCAGCAAGTGCACATGCCCTATGACAGAAATCTTAAAATTTGAGAACATTCACATAACATAAAGTGGATCGCTAACCATTAACGATGTATGCACAAAGTTGTCCAAATATCACCACCGTCATGAAGACATCTTCACCACCCCAAAAGAAAACTCGTATCTTTTTATTGTTTTCAGTTGTCAGAGGGTGGTGCTCACCAGAGAGGAAAGAGAGAAAGCCCCCAGAGGGTGTGCTGTGGTCCCTTCACTTGTCCATCCTGTCAGGGTTCTTAGCACGCGGCACACACGCACCCAGTATGTTCCTCGAGCTGCCAGGCTGGGTTCTGGGCACACGGCACACACGCGCCCAGCATGTTCCTCGAGCTGCCAGGCTGGGTTCTGGGCACACGGCACACACGCGCCCAGCATGTTCCTCGAGCTGCCAGGCTGGGATTCGAACCACCTGCTCCCTTCACCATCAGGCTCCAGTGCTGGCCCACGGGAACAGTTCATGAAACAGCTACTCTCCCGGCCTCAGCCCTGGCAGCTCCTAGGAGTCCGTGGATGTCTCACACCCCAGAACCATCCCCGTGGAGTGTCCATGTGGACTGTCTACGTGGGCCTACGTCTGGCTCCATTCATTAGCGTCGGGTGCAAGGGCATCACTTTGGCACGTTCCCCTCCGTGCTGAGTAGCAGTGCTGCTACTCTGCACACACACAGGGTTTGCTCAGATGTTTTGGTTCTGGGTTCACACCAAGGAGTGGCACGCTGGGCCCGTGGCGGCTCTGGGCCCGTGGCGGCTCTGTGTCCGGGTCCCCCGCAGCAGTCGTGGTGCTGCACACTCACAGCATTGTGCAGCCAGCTCTCCCACCTTCTGCGACACTGCAGCCAGGTGTGTGTGACAGAGGGGCGGCGGGAGTGACAGGAACGAAGGGAAGGGACTTTAGCACATCTCGCCGGGTCCCATACGACTGACTGGTTCAAATCCCAGCCCCAGTGGCTTGAACAACACACCAGGCACGTGTGCACGGGCGCCCCAAACCCTCACAGAGTGGAGATAGCGGAGCAGGGATTGCAGCCTGACTTGCACGGGGAGCTTGCTTTCTCCCTGACAAGCCCACATGCCCTATGGCAATTTTAAAAAAAAGGAAAGTGAAAGGAAAGATGCAAAAGATGTGAGTGAGGAAGAGGCGAGGGAAAAGATTAAAAAGACAAAGGATGGGGCCAGCATATGGCATGGTGGTTAAGGGTGCTGGACTCTCACATGGTCGACTGTGATTCGAGTCCCGGGCCTGGCAGCTTGCTTTCTCACTTTCTTTCTCTCGTCAAATTAAAATAAATACATAAATAAATAAAGTTAAATAAAAATTATTCTTTTTAAAAGATTTTAAGAGGGGCCAGCAGGTAGCATGGTGGTTAAGGGTGCTGGACTCCCACATGGTCAACTGCGGTTCAAGTCCTGGACCTGGTGGCTTGCTTCCCCCACACACTCTGTCCCTTTCTGATCAAATTAAAATAAATGAATAAAGTTAAATAAAATAATTTTTTTTTAATTAAGAGACCAGCAGATGGCATAATGGTTATGTTGCTGGACTTCCATGTATTCAACCGCAGTTCAAGTCCTGGACCTGGGAGCTTAAACTCACACTGGGCGCATGTGTGTGCATTCCCAAGATCCCAAGAGGAGAATGGAGGA